TGCCTAATCGTTTCTGCAAAACTATGTATTGTGTCGTTGAAATGTGAATTTATGATTATATGTTGGTTCATGTTGCTTATGATGTTATGGTATGATATTTTGGTCGATTATATCAAAGTGTTCTAAGATATCAGTCCTGTCTTCGTCGTCCATTAGACCAAAGAGCCATTTGTGTGCTGTTTGTATTTGTAAGCCACTTTTATTTCTGCTAAAAGGTGTAATAGATTTAATCTTTGCCTTTATTAATCTGATTTCTACTAGTAGTTACTCTTTGTCTGTAATATTGGCTGTTCTTATGTTTGTTTCAATCTGTTTTAAAATATCCTGAAGTGGGTGAACCTTCTTTGTTTTTTGTATTCTTCTCTTGTATTATTTATCTGGCTTATAGTTATTTTTTACGTTCCTCAATAATCATTTTTAATTTATTTATATCTTCTGTATTTTTTGCATAATTTGGTAACATTTTATTGTTGAATGATAACGGTTATTGTAAGCTATTATTGCTAATTGAATTTTAGATTCAATGGATAGTTCATTATTATCTATTCCTGTTATTTTTTCAATTAATGTAGAATGTAATCTTTCACTATCAGCGTTTCCTGTATGGGAGTTGGGCTTTGTATAATGTATTTCAATATCTTCATTGTTTAAAAACTGTATTATGTTCTGATTTAAACTCATAATCCATTGTTATTTTCTGTTGCTTGTTAAATTTTACAAAATGTCCTATCATAATTTGCATCTTTGTTCGCCAATTTCTATCAGTAATATTATAAGCAACTGCAAATGTTGTAAGTTTATCTATGATTGTAGCAAAAGATTTGTGTTTTATGTGAAATATATCTAAATGTATAATTTTGTTTTTATACCCTGATCCCATTGAAAATGGGAAATCAGGGAATAATGGTTTTGTGTAAATGTATGTAACATGCAGAAGGAGGCGTGGCAGAGCCCATAAAGTATATATATTTTGGATCAGGACGACAAGCCCAGTCGATTGAGCCCTGTCCGTCTGTCTGTCCGTCCGTCTGTCCGTCCATCTGTCCGTCCGTCTGTCCGTCTGTCCGTATGTGTGAACGCGTGGATCTCAGCATCTAGAAGAGCTAGAGACTGAAATTTTCTTTTGTAAGTCCGTGTATAGCACGCGCAGGTCAAGTTTGTTTCAAATATTCGATTACTATTCGCATTTAATTGTTATCGAATAAAATCATTATTGAAATGCAGTAAATAAATTATATCTCGAACGTCTTAAGACCTAGAGCCAAATTTTGTATTTAGTTTTATGTATATTTTATGCAATTTTGATTTTTGTTGGATTTTGGATACCGGCTCCAAATTCCCCCAAATTCTTAAAATTTAAGTTTAGTGGGAACTAGGGCCATTATGTGAAGCCAAAACAACCAAGCCAATAAGATATGTAGATCATATGCAGAAAATTTCATTAAAATCCAATAGATCAAAAGTTATTAAACAAAACGTTTGGCCAATTTGCAAAAGCACATGTTAGCAGCGCCACGCGCACGTATTTTTCCTACGCGTGTGCACACATACATTCAAATGCGTGAATTCTTTTTTATTCGAAGAATCGAAATTGCGATTGAATTGGGCTGAATTATTAGTTGCTCCTTAAATTCAAATTTGCAGCTATTCTTACAAGTGGTGCAGTGGCTGCGTTTGTAGAGGCGGTGCTCGTAAGAAGCTAGTTCCATGGTTCGAGACCAGTGGAGATGGAATATTATTTATTGTTTTATTTGCTTAAATTATGAAGTGGCGCTGTTGGTAGAGTTGCTGCGCGTTGCGTAAAAATAGTGGGTTCGAATCCTGGTGTCGTACTGTCGATTTTTACTTTATTCTTTTGAATACTCGATACAAACTACGGAAAATATTAATAAACTGAAAGAGGACTTGGATCAGGGTATCGGGCACCATGACTACCCTGACTAGAGTTTTCTGACTTGTTATATTTCGATTATTTGCTTTCTTACTTCTTCTTCATATTTTGGAGGAACCCTATAGAGTTTTGAATTTATAGGATGATCTTTTATGGTTTTAATATTGTGAAGTATTGTATTAGTGTTAGTTAACTGATCAGCATCTTTAAAATATAACTTTTCATACTTTTTCGTAAGATTTTACTATCTGCGCTTCTTCAGCATTGAGCTCTTCTAGCTTAAAGTCATCACTTTCGCCTGCTTCCATTACAGTAACATCTTCTGATAATTTGGAAACGAACGGAATTTCGACTCCATTGCAAAGCTTAATTATTTTGTTTTTAAAATCCATATCTTCCAAGTTTGCTTGGATAAAATCCATGCCCAATAAAAAATCATATGATCTTTCTATGGATATACCTACCCATCGTAGTCTTGCGCAATCTGCATATTTAAATTCACTTGCTACTTCTGTTTTAACTAAATAGCTGTCATTTTTTATATCCCCATTAATAGTGTAAATGGTTTTTGAAAATTTTAAAATTATTTTATACTTTGATTCATGAATATTGTCGGTATTTAATATACTTATAGTAGATCTAGTATCTACTAAAATTAGTAAAGAATCCCCCTCAATAGTTCCTTTAATGAAAACTGTTCTTTTGTCCGAGGCTAGTTGGTAAAAAATTCTTCCTGTTTATTTTCGTAATTTGGATTATTATTTATTTTTTCATCATTAAATTGTCTACACTCAATGCTTCTGATGTGGTTGCTGATGATGAAATATAAAACGAAATTAGAAAGTCAATTTCTTACATCTGTTACAGTTGTTTTATTCATAAGGGCAATTGCCATCGGACCACATGCTAATTCTATAACTCTTTGAATTAATAATCCAATTAGAATATCAACTAGTTTACTATCAACAATTCCTCAACAATTGTTCTTATTTTATTATTAAAATCTCTTACGCTTGTTACTCTTAAGTTATTAATCTTCCTAGTTAGTCCCATCTCATCCGTTCTTGGTCTTTAGTGATGTCTCAAACGATTTTTGCACTACGTGCAGTTTGCTGGTGCTTGTGGATTAATGTTAAGCATAGTTCTAGCCTGACCTTGAATTTTGGTATTGAATATGACAGTGAAGACCTGGTCATTGTCATCGTACTCCTCCACGATCTGGTCTACTGCAGACAGGAATCCATGCAGTTCCTTTGAGTTGCAATTGGATTTCTGCCTTCACCTTCTCTTGCGATAATTACGTTTGTTAACAGTTGAATGAATTGTTGCAATTCAAAGATTTTTTGTTGATTTGTCATTTTTTTTGTTTTGTGTTTGAACTGTATAAAAGTAACCCTGATCCCATTGAAAATGGGAAAATGAGAAAAAAAATGGGTAGACTCCATAAAGTATATATATTATTGATCAGGACGACAAGCCCAGTCGATTGAGCCCTGTCTGTCCGTTTGTGTGAACGCGTCGATCTCAGCATCTATAAGAGCTAGAGACTTTTTGTACGAATTTTGGGAGATTTAGAGCCGGTATCAAAAATCCAACCAAAATCAAAATTTGGAGGCTCTAGCTCTTAAGACGTCCAAGATATAATTTATTAACTGTATTTCAAACATGTTTTTATTCGATAACAATTAAATGCGAATATTTATCGAATATTTGAAACAAACTCGATATGCAAAAAAAATTTCAGTCTCTCTCTTATAGAAGCTGAGATCAACGCGTTCACACATACGAAGAGACGGACCGACAGACAGATGGACAGGCGGACAGACAGACTGACGGACAGGGCTCAATCGACTCGGCTTGTCGTCCTGATCAAGAATATATATACTTTATAGGGTCTGCCACGCCTCCTTCTGCCTGTTACATACATTTGCACAAAGCCATTATACCATGATTTCCCATTTTCAATGGGATCAGGGAATACAAAATATGAGTTATCCATAACATCCTATGAACAGTGAGTCCTTGTATCTTTTATCAAAATTCGCAACGTTTTTCGTTACTGCTGATTTTTCAGAAACTTCAAAAACGTTAAAGTAAAAATTTTTTACAGCCTGAACACATTAATTGGAAATCTGTATATAATGGTTCTGTAAAAATATAAGGAACAGGCAGGAGGAGGCGTATTATTGACCCATAAAGTAAATGTATTCAGGATCAAGATGACGATCCAACTCGATAATTATAATCGAAATATAGAAATATATAATTTTTCGATGTTGGCGATCTAAACAATTTTTACAGTTTTGTAAACTCGTGGCGTAAGTCTTCTGGCTTCAGTATTTTTCCTTCGCCCATTCTAATCAGCATTATTATTTTTGTTGATTTTTCATGTGATTTTTGTTGATTTTTCATATGTACATTCAAATGCGTTATTCATTTATATTGTATTATTATCCAAATGATGATCAAAATGTGTTTTGAGTTGTCAGCTGATAGTTTACTTTAGATTTGCAAATTTCCATCTGAGTAATACAGCGATGGTGATGGTACAGGCGGTACTTGGTACCTCCAATAAAATTTGTTGCCTCTAGCTCTTATTGATGCTGAGATCGACGCGTTCATACGGACGGACGGACAGGGCTCATTCCACTCAGCTTTTGGTCCTGATCTAGAATATATATACTTAATAGGCTCTGTTTCATAGTTTGTCATAAAACCATTATACCCTGATTTCCCATTTTCAACTAATTAAAATCAAAATTGAACGAAATATACATAAAACTAAATTCAAAGTTTGGAGCCTACAAAAAAAATTCAAGTCTCTAGCTCTTATAGATGCTTAGATTGACGCGGTCACACATACGGACGGACCGACGGGCGGACATGGCTCAACCAGCTCGCATCCGTTAGGACAAGAAGTAACACAGGATACAAACGTTGCACCATCATGCATAATACTCATATTTAATTTAGTTTTGAGTTTTACTTAATATTAGCTTACCTCATTAATTAAATTTATCTTTATATGCACCTAATGAATTTAACATTTTTATATTGATTCAATTCAGTTGCAATAAATATTAAACTTAATTTATTTTGTATTTAACAGTAGCAAAAACGCCAGCATCACCAAAAAATGTCGTAAGCGGATGGTTACTTTTCAAGTTATGACGATATTATTGTCTTGCCTTATACTAATGTACTGCGTACTACCACTAGTGGAACTATTTTACATTGTGGGGACTGATGTACCAGTAAAGCCATTTCCTTATAAGATGGTTTTTCCGTACGATCCATACAATAGTTGGATACGTTATACACTAACATATATATTTACTGCGTATGCTGGTATTTGTGTGGTGACCACACTGTTTGCTGAGGATTCAGTTTTTGGATTTTTTACAACATACACATGTGGACAATATCGTTTATTGCATAAACGCATCGACGTTTTAGTGGATAAGTGCAAAAAAAATATGTCTTTCGGAACTAACACTGAAGAACTTAACCTAAAAATAATACGCGAACTTCAAAGCATTTCACAACACCACAACAAAATAATCAGGTAAGAGTTTATATCTTATTGAAATTGAAATAAATACCAATTTTACAGAGTATTGGTAACATTGATGAAACTTGAAACTTTAATAGCTATATATATTCAAAATAAAATTTACAATTAGCTTTAGATGAAGATAATCATGTACGCAATAATAATGATTGCCGTCTTTGTCCGTATACATAAACAAAAAATAATTTTGCATAGGCCAATTACATATTGAGAATGAAAATGTTTATAAATTAAAATTGTATTCTACAATAAATATATATTCTTGATCAGATGTCGAGCTGAGTCAATTTTTCCATCTGTTGTTTGTTCATCAGCTCTTCGCAGAGTTAAGGGTATCTCTTACTCGGGTGTGTCGAATAGACAGACCATATGCCTGTCCGTATATTTGAACGCGACGATCTCAGCATCTATAAGAGCTAGAGACTTGAAATTTTTTGTATGTCCATGTATAGCACACGCATATCAAGTTTGTTTCATATATTCGGTTACTATTCCCATTTAAATGTTATCGGATAAAAACATGATCGAAAAGAAGTTAATAAATTATATCTCATACTTCTTAAGAGCTAGATCCTCCAAATTTTGTTTTATGTATATCTTATCAATTTTCATTTTTATTGGATTTTGGATATCGTCACCAAATTTCCCCAAATTCTTAAAATATAAGTTCAGGAAATAGGACCATTATTTGAAGGCGTTTGCATCTCTACCCATCCAATATAATATATCATATGCTGAAAATTTCATTAAAATCCATTAAATAAAATATAAATGGGAATAGCTATCGAATATATGAAACTTTTTATAGATGATGAGATCGACGCGTTCACACAAACGGACAAACCGACGGACAGACAAAAGGACAGGGCTCAATCTACTCTGCTCGTCGTTCTGATCAAGAATATATATACTTTATAGGGTCTGCCACGCCTCCTTCTGCCTGTTACATACATTTGTACAAAACCATTTCCCATTTTCAATGGGATCAGGGTATAAAAATTCAATGAGTTGAATTATTAAAGGCTATTATTATTTAAGTCCAAAAAAAAATTTTTTTTCGGTGACTAAAGAGTTTTAGACAAACTGTAAAAAACTCCAAATGGGCAAACGGATAAACAAAATATCCATTTTACAAGATTCAAAGAAGATATATAAAGTAAAAAAGCTTTCAAATTACCCTTAATCAAAACATGTTTAATAATATGGATTCAAAAACATTTTTATTTTAGGTTTGCTAAGCGATTGGAAGACTTTTTTAATCCCATACTTTTAGTGAATCTTATGATATCGTCTATCCTAATCTGTATGGTTGGATTTCAACTAATTACTGTAAGTTTTTTAAGGCAAAGTATTTAAAATAATTTTACAAAGCTTTTTTTTATTCACCTGCACATGTTGATGATTCTCGCTATTGTGTTTGATGTCACTACATCAGAGCGAATATTTGTTCATTGGTGACTACATTAAGTTTATTGTGTATATATCGTCGGCAATATCACAGTTGTATATCCTTTGCGATAATGGAGATACATTAATCCAACATGTAAGTTTTAACAAGAATGGTTTGTGTTAAAATAATAAAAATCGACATTACGACACCAAGATTCGAACCAACAAATTCTACGCAACGCGCATCAACTCTACTAACACCGTCACTTCATAATTCAAATAAATAAAGAAGAATACAACATTTTCTTTTACTGCCGCTCGAACCCAGGGAACACTGCATACGAGTGCCGCTTCTACCAACAACGCCAACGCACTTCTTGTGCAATGAGCTGCAAATTTGAACTTTAGTAATTATATACCCTGATTTCACATTTTCAATGGGATCAGGGTATAAAAAGTTCATCTGACTTAACAGAAATACCATTACCATGAAGGTACGTTTCGAAGTGACAGAGTATATTATTTTGTGGAATGTCCGTCTGTTCGTTGACTTAAAATATATAGTTTATAAATCTACGTCCATGAGGTGAGTGATAAATTGGATATCACAGTACCTTGACATAATTTTTAAAACTAATAAAATTATATAAGACTACATATAACCAGTAAGAAAGCTCTAGTCGGGGTGCCCGAATAGCAGATACCCTGATAAAGTATATACATTCTTGATCAGGACGACAAGCCGAGGCGATTGAGCCCTGTCCGTCTGTCCGTCCGCCCGTCTGTCCGTATGTCCGTATGTGTGAACGCGTCGATCTCAGCATCTATAAGAGCTAGAGACTAGAGAATTTTTTTGTAGGTCCATGTATAGCACGCGCATTTCAAGTTTGTTTCATATATTCGATAACTGTTCTCATTTAATTGTTATCGAATGAAAACATGTTTGAAATGCAGTTAATAAATTATATCTCGTACGTCTGAGGAGCTAGAGCCTCCAAATTTTGTATTGAGTTTTATGTATATTTTATGCAATTTTGGTTTTTGTTGTATTTTGGATACCGGCTCCAAATTTCCCCAAATTCTTAAAATTTAAGTTTAGTTGGAAATAAGGCTATTGTGTGAAGGCGTTTGCAAATTTGCAACTCTTCTTCCAAGAGGTGCAGTGGCTGTGTTGGTACGGGCGGCTCTCGTAAGCAGTTAGTCCCTGGGTTTAAGCCCGGTGGAGATGGAATACTTATTATTGTTTTAGCTCTTAATTATGAAGTGACGATGTTGGTAGAGTTGGTGCACGTTGCCCAAACAAACCGGTTTCGAATAGGGTCTCGTAATGTCGTTTTTTATTTGCTTTTTTTTTTTTTGAATACTCGATACAAACTACGGAAAATATTAAAAAACTCAGATAGGACTGGGATCATGGTATGTCCTTTCTTTCTTACTTGTTAATTATGAAGTGGCGGATGCGCGTTGCGTAAAAATTGTGGGTTTGAATCTTGGTGTGGTAATGTCGATTTTTATTTGTTTTTTTTTTAATACTCGATACAAACAGCAAGAGTCGAACCCACATTATCTACGCAACGCCTATGAACTCTATCAACCCCGATACTTCATAATTAAAGAATTAAAAAAACAATATAATATGTCCCTATGTATTCTTCACTTAATTTACTTTGTTTTTTGAATCTCATATGCTCATATGCTCTTCTAATGAAGCCGAAAACATGATTATATCATCAATGTATATATCGCAACACTTGCCATTAAAATCGACTAAAGCGTTGTACATGACATATTGAACCGTGCCTGGTTTGCCGGAAGTGTATGTTAACAAATTCGTAATATACATTCCTTCCGCCATAAGAGCTCAAGCAACACACATCAGTACACTACACGTTTCCGCTAGCTAGACTTAAAGCAGTGAAGCATTTAACCGGATATCGGATATTTATCTTTGATTGCTATGGTTATGTTTTTTTATGTTATGTGCCACTAATGTGTGAATGCTAGAAGATATTGAGCTTCATAGAAAAGATTTGAAATTTAGGAAAAGGAATTTATCAACAATTCACTTTCTTCATTAATGAAATGTTCGGTTTGACATACACTCAAATGCGTGTATTTTTTTCTATTCGAAGAATTGAAATTGCGATTGAATTGTGCTTGAATTGTCATCTGTTACTTATGTTTCGACAGCAGTGCAGTGGTGGTATTGGTAGAAGCGGCACTCGTTACCGACATTTACTGATCCCATTAAGAATAGGAAAACAGGGTATAATGGTTTTGTGCAAGTGTATGTAATAGGCAAAAGGAGGCATTCTTGATTTTAGCATCTTAGCATAAGAGCTAGAAACTTGAAATTTTTTGGACATTAATTAGAGGTCCGTGTAAAGCACTCGCATGTCAAATTTGTTTCAAATATTCGATAACTTTTCCCGTTCTACTGTTATCAAATAAAACATGATCGAAATTCAGTTAAAAACTTATATCTCGTACGTCTCAAGAGTTAGAACCTCCAAATCTGGTATTTAGTATATTTTATGTATGTATAAGTAAAACAGAAGTTATTAAACAAAACGTTTGGCAAAATTGCAAAAGCACATGTCAAGCAGGGCCAAGCGCATGCATTTTTCCTATACGTGTGCACACACACATTCAAATGCGTCTATGATTCGAATTATCTATGCTGACTATGCAACTGCACGTACAAGCAAGGCAGTATTGGCGTTGGGAGAGTGGGCGCATGTATGCAGTGATCTCTGGTTCGAGCCTGGCGGTGAAGGGATATTTTCCATTATGTTTTTATTATAAAATGGCGGTGTTGATAGAGTTCAATGTGGGTTTGACTCTTACTGTCGTAATGTCAGTTTTTATGTATTATTTTTTTTTTTTTTTGAAAACTCTATACAAACTATATAACTAAACTAATATTAAAAAAACGCAGATATGATTATCTGCCAGTCGGGCACCACGACAAGAGCTTTCTTACTTGTTATAAATAGACCTATTTAAAATACAGATACAGTTGCTTTCGATAAAGAAAGTAATTTCTTTCAATATTTAATGATTAGAGGTATATCTTTTCTGCTCGTTTTCACAAAATTTTGATTTTCCCCTTGGTTTAGTTTTAATTAATTTATTTTTGAGTACTTCGTTATCAATTTTGAACATTTCTGCTTAAATGTTTGGTCAGAATTATTCACAAGAGATATGCCCGTAAGCCCCCAAATTTTAAATTTAGTTTCATGCACATTTTATTTCCTTTTTTTTTTTATAGACATAATACCGGTAAAATAAAAACGTTATTACAATTAAAGTTCAATTTGTACAAAATTTGTACTTTCTCAGTAGGATATTAGGTTCATATGACTATAATTTTACTGACAACAGTTGAGTAAAACTTTTGCTCTTTTAGCCACATGAACAGCATGCATTGCAAGCAGCATAAATCACAAATACGATTGAATTATAGTTGGATTGGGAGGTGGAGCTTTAATAAAGTGCGCAGAGCAGTGAGTTGGCGGTGTGGTCAGAAGTAATACGCGTTGCTGAGTAAACGTGGCGGTGGCTACTGTTTTTTTTAATAAACATGGTATAGATTGTGTCGGTGCGAGTTTGAATGATGCGGGATTAGGTGATTTTTTTTCAAACATTTTTCTGATTAAATACATACAAGCATATAGGTATGCGATTCCTTCGCGAGTTTCGTTTAACTTTCAAAGATATAACCTATAGGGTTTTAATTATTATTATTAAAATTATTATTATTAAAATTCTAAACATATACTCGTGGGCACAACGCTCATCAACAACAATTACAGATTTTATATCTAAGCCGATAGATTTCCAAATTTTCGGGCATTGAGCATTAAAATTTTACAATTAAATTAGTGTAGCCTATTTCTATAGATTAGCCACATGAGTTACATGCCCACGTTAACGTGATTGCAGCAAATCGGCAAAAAACTATGTTCTACAGCTTTAAAGTTTGAAACTCAAAGGTTAATAATTCAGTTACCGTGGACCTACTCTATTGATCTATCAAAATTTATATTTATTAAGGACTTGAGGGACAATAAAAAAAACATATCTTCCAAATTTTACCAAAACAATGAGTTTATGCAGCCGATAGGAGTATATGTAATTTCGAATCATCTTTAATAAACATTTTTACAATTGTATAATATATATAATATAATATAAGTTAACTTATAACACTTAGTTAGCTTATAACACTTAATGTAAGGTATTATTCAACACTTATTATCGGGTGCTAGACAAGTTAAGGAACAGCCCTGGCAAGGGCAACTCTACTTACGCCGGTGAGGCTATGATTTGTAAAAATATAGATCAGTCTCGTGTTTTAACTCGTACTGATAGGACATGCTAAAAATTGGTGTCATATAAGTCAAATTAAAAGTAGTGAATATAATAAGAAAAACCAATAAAATTAACTGTTTCGATTATTCAAAAAAGAACAATTCAAAGCAGGGTTAAAAAGCGTTCTTCCAGTAAACCGCTTAAATAAATATTCACTCCGGCATTTGGTCGTTAAATGGCTTATTTCATTGTCTGAGCCCGAGGCCAGCAATAAGAGGCACAGTCGCCTCTCAACCTAACTTTCAGTCACCACAGGACTGGAAACCATATAATTTATATATAATTGATTGTATAAGTACAGTATTTTGTGTATATGTATATATGCATAGATAGATATATTCCATAAATATATATTTAATAATGATGATCGGCCGAAGTTGCAGGTATCGTGTAAGCCCGTATTCCTTACTAGAGTTTTGATGCTTAACGTTACCATATATTTTTAAGTATTTCTATAGAGCTGTGAAAACATCGCCATTAAATAAAATTACATCTCCTGTCTTACACTCTTAGCTAATAAAAATAGAAGAAAGTTTCAACCTAGAAACGCTTTCATTACAGTTAACGTAAATCTAAATCTATTATCCAACGAATAGTATTCATAAACGAAAGCAATAGTGCCTTTACATCCTTGATAGTTAAAAAGGAATTATTTCAAGTTTCGAGAATTTTTCTATAAAAGTGTGAAATTATGTTTTTTATGTTTCTACTTAAAGGAACATTTATCTCTTTTAAAATAGCCAGGGATTTTAAGCAGTTCACGGGCTTGCCTGTCATCTC